AATTATAATTTATAGTGTGTTTAATTGGAATTCAATAAAGAAAACCAATAGTCTTTGGAAATTTATATAATTTTCAGTTTCATTTTAGTAGTAAAGTGTGAATTTAAAGTATGAATTAATATATATGATTAAATGTGTTTTTTTGGTTAAAATAAATATTATATTTTAAAAAATAAATACAAAATGGAACAATAAAGAGAGTGGAACCTTACTTTTATATATATGATTTTAAATAATTTTCCACCAATAAGGCTTATAAAACTTGTTGTATGATATATGATTAAGTCCTTTCATTTTCTTTGCCATTTGATTATAACTTATAGTGTAATTAAATTTTGTATTGAATGATTGTCATAAATATTTATTTATTTATTTATTTTGTTGAATGATATATGATTAAGTCATTTCATTTTCTTTGTCATTTGATTATAACTTATAGTGTAATTAAATTTTGTATTGAATAATTGTCATAAACATTTATTTATTTATTTAAAAAAAAAATTAAAGCCTTAAATATTTTTCCACCAATAAGGAGAGAGTGTAACCTTACTTTTATATATATGATTTGGTTTTCAAGTTATGAATCCTTATTCCAGTTGTTACATTATACATACACGAGATGTTAAGTTTCTTTTGAGGCCATCTTTAACGGGCCATCTTTATGGGTCTTAATCCAATTAAAAATACCAAAATATAGAAACAGTAAAATTGGAAGAAGCAAACGGGTGTTAGTTAAGACACTTTTGGTTTGGGTTCTTCTGCCATGTGTTAATATGTGAGTGGCTGCATAAATTGTAAATGAAAATTAATCTTTTGTTAGAGAAAATAAAATTCTCAATTAAAATTTTCAATAAAATTCCTAAAAGAAAATAAAATTACTCTTTTGTTGGAGAAAATAAACATAAACTTAATTAATATGTTTGTATCTTTTTATGTTACTTATTTTAATTAATATATTTGTATCTTTTTATGTTACTCATTTTAATTAATATGTTTGTATCTTCTTATGTTTCTTATTTTTATCTTCATTGTTTTTATTTGTTATTAATAATTTTGAATTGAATTCCCAATAAAATTCTCAAAAGAAAATAAAAATTAATCTTTTGTTGGAGAAGATAAACATAAACTTAATTAATATGTTTGTATCTTTTTATGTTACTCATTTTAATTAATATGTTTGTAACTTTTTATGCTTCTCATTTTTATCTTCATTGTTTTTTATTTGTTATTAATAATTTTGAATTGTAATTTCTTTTTATTTTTATTTTCAAACTTGTTTTATGTTCATTTTTATAAGTTTTCAATTTATTAAATATTTATTTAATTTTAAAATTTTAAAATATGTTTTACATTATTATATTATTTAAATTTTAAGATCGTAGATGTTCAACTAATAATCAACTCTATATTTGTGCTTCTTAACTTATCCTCTTACAATATTAATATGCTTAAAATTTACTAAGAAACATCTTCTCAAACGTTTTGTATCTGCATATATATATGTTACAAAATGCATAGAAAAGTGGGATTCCTTAAAGTACCTATAAATCGTACTCAAAATATTTTTTCTTGCAAAAGAAATAAATAAATTACTTTTTCTTGCAATTTACGATTCATCATTAATATATCAAAAAATGCAGAGAAAACTTAAAATTTGAGAAAAACTTGCGTCAACTATTCATCAAATAATATTGTGTTTTCTAATGACTTCTTGTTCTTAATTTTGGAGCTGAGGCATGACCAATTGAAAGGAGGAGTCGCATATGGTCCTTTGAGTAATCCATCAGCCATCAATTTATATGCAGCCTCGGTCATATGAATACCATCCCATGCTACGTACTTTGAAGGATCGTCACAAGATTCCACTCCTACACTTCCACAACTTTTACTGAAGTTGAAGTTGTACGGTCTTCCCACACCGCAACAAGCGGACAAGGTTCCGTTTATGAATCCTGAGAACATCATTGATTCGAAAACTCGGTTAATACCGAATCAGTAAAATGGTTGTGAAGATTCAATGGAGCAATGAAGAAGGCTACTAAGTACTAACTGTATTTGTTTGGTTCTTGGCCAAGGCTCAAGGAAGCATTGTAGTAGTCAGCATATATGATGTTCACATGAGGGTTTAGCTTCCTGAGTCTCTTGAGCTCTGCTTGAAGCTGCTCACTGTGGTATTCTCCTAACTTGTTCAGCCATTTTAAACATCCTGTTGAAGTATCGTATTCTTCCATATTTGAAGTTTGATATAATGTCAAATATGATACTGAGCATCCAATAGGGAACCCTCCCGGCACTAGAAATGTTTTTCCCCCCATACCAATCAACTCCTGGATTCAACAAAGTCCCAAAGCATCAAACTAATTAATCAAATCTGTTTTAGTACTCGTAATTGCGTCTAGAAGATCAAGAATCATATTAAAACTTGTTACCGTAATGGCAGAAGAAATAGTACTAATCACCAATGGAACTAGCTGTTTGACCTCGTCAAAGGGTCTGCCTTGGAAGAATGGGAAATTATAATCATTTGCTCCAATCTCTCCCATGAGAATCAAAGCATTTCCAATCATATCTCTACAATCTAAGAACAAATACAAGTGATCAGCTCAAACCACTGAAAAACATATATACATAATAGTTACTCCACTAATTAAAGTCGATCTTAATTCACTACCTGATGGTAAGCCACATATGTTTGGTAAACTCTCCTTGAAGATCTTAAGCTGAACTCCTAAACTGATGTTGTGAGGACAATGGTATCCTCTCTCCTCTAGAAATGAACTATCCAATGCCGTCGCTGAGGCTACCGCAAAATTTACTCCTTTCTCAAAATTTTCATTTTTGGATCCGAAGTAAGGAGGTACATAAGGAAGCCCCAAAAATTCAGCTGTAAAGCAAAAAAAATGAAGCATCACGTAAGGTTCTACATTGTTAACTTGCAGGTCAAGAAAAAAGGAAAAAAACATAGAAATTTTTACATAAGATCTCCAAGTTTTGTTTTTGTGACAAAGCACAGACTCACAGTCAATTACATATTGTATAAAGAAAGATAAGGTACCGATGAAGTCAATGATGAGGCGGCCATCAGAGAAACGACCGGTTGGGTGGTGGAAGAAAGTCTCTCCATACGGTGGAAACGCGCTCAAAGGAAGATTGTTACGGTCGGAGAGACCGAGCAAGTTTCCGGTGTCGGCAATGGAATCTCCGAAACTGATGATCGACTCAAAATTCCGGCAATGCGATTCCGAGCTTACCATAGTCACAAAGATCAGGCTAACTATCCCCATCAACACCTGAGAATCTAGCGACGCCATGCGAGAGGTCCCAAAGTTACTTTATGATTTATTATTTTCAAAAAAAACTAAACGCATAGTTAAATTATGATCACTCACTCAGTGAGCGTTTCTGGTTGCCTTATCAATAAGAGTGGGGCAAAGGCACTTAAGTATTCTATGGCCTACAAAACTTTATGTTTGTAAACGGGTACACTTTTGGCTTTTAACCACCATCTAGAAAATATCTAACAACTGAGGAGTAGACAGAGTATAAGATAATTAGAATCTTAGATATGTTACAAACACATAAGTAATCTTGCAATCTCTTCATCCAGCACAATTGGACCAATGAGTAACAATTTGGTTATCAAAAATAATACAACATTCAAATCTAGTCTGATAGTTAAGAGTAAACAACTACAAAAATGGTTATTCTTCTTCTTCTCCATAGGCATCTTGTTTATCTATATAACATATTCTTCATTTCATTTGTATCTTCTTCAGTTATCTTTGTTGCTGAGAGTCACAGTACTGTGGATACTTACACCTGCAGGGATGATTTCTCACCTGCCAAAAGTTTGATTCTCTTGTCTCTCAATATCAACTGAAGAAGCACATATTGGTTACAAGATCGCTCATAAACTATGTTTTTGATATGTTACCTTTCGTATTGTGAAAGATACCCTTCTGGGACTCCTTCTAATAACTTTATCCTTCACCTTGTCAATCTATCAGAGCACAGTACAACGGTTTAACAATTTATAGAGAAATGCAGTAACAATATCATGGTGAGAGCGAAGGAGATATCCAAATGAAGATAAACTGAAGTTTGCGGTCATAAGAATACAACCTTGTGATGTGGAATGTAATGATTCCAAGCATAGCGTGCTTCCCCGGATAATAATAGCATAGATCGAGGAGGAAGATATAAAGCCTTCTTGATGCAAGAGGAGTCACCCAACTTCTCAGCATCGGCAGTTGAGGCTTTCCATGTTGAAACAGAGTATCTTCTGAATTCCATAATACAAGGACCAGCTAATGAAAGGCTGAAAATGCAATCTTCAAATGCTGAATGTGTGTCAATGTGAGGGGATAAACCCACCCCAGATGGGTACTCATTTACCTAATTTTCACAAGAGTTCCTCAGCCTTCAATGTAGTTAAAAACATTTTAACAGAATCTTAATCTAGTACAGAGCGTGTGATAATGTACCGTTAATTGGTCCAAATCCAAGCTTGATGGGTCGATATCATGGTTCGGGAACAACGAGATTCTTTCGAGTATAGGAGAAACAAAAGATGGAAGCTCGCCTAGTCGCTTCTTGGTATCAACATTTCGTGTCCCGTAACAAAACTCATATCCATAGTGTTGAACACGTCGTTTGGCAAGACCAATCCAAGGCCGAGCATCAACAGCTGCAAGCAATTGCTAATAAAGACAGAACCAAATAAGCATAATACAAGGGGTAAAAACGAAATCAAATGCCAACTACACCATAAGCACCGTTACAAAAAAACTATGTACCTGTTCTTCTTCGACACTGACAAATTCAGGTATTAGGAAAAGCCCTGGTATATTCAACTCTGAATCAACCAAAGACACAGGAACACAATCATTCACTTGCGTCTACACCAACAAAAAACAAAGGCGGTAAGTACTTCAAAGTCAGACGATACAAATGGAGTTCAAGAGAATGTTAATTGCAACCGGATCGCAAACAAACACACAAAGTCTCTGTCTTTTGATAACAGAGAATGCTCAATACATGACTTTGAATTTGAATAACATGTTACAACACATAAAAGATCAAAACTTTGAAATATATATGGAAATCTAATCATGCCCAGCAATGGAGAATCCTATAACATATCATACAATTTGGCATTTTCTAACATAAAGTCAAAAACTTTGATCCACCATTGTAATTGGAAGTACCTCGGAAGCTAATTGAAGAACTGAATATCGAATATGCAAAGTCCGTCCTTTAAGGTCCGGACATGGCCGACCACTCAATGCTTCTAAAGCAGCTTTCGCCGAGTAAGGATCCGCGAAAGATACGATGACACGAACGCCGCTCTCGTCCGCTGCGTAGACGCCTTTCACTTCACCAAAATCAGCGAACACCGCCGCGATTGCGTCGTGTGATAGTCCAACCGCCGGTCCACAATTAGCGACGTAGAGATTGGATGAATTGGGTTCTCCGGCGTCGGAGGAAGGTGATGACTGCGTCGGACGGACGAAACGCGGCTGAACCATTATCGGAATATTTTACTGTGACTTTTCTCCGATCGACTGAGGTGTTTTTTTGTTTAACGGCGAGTTATCTTCTCCGTAAGATCAATAAACGACGACGTTTAGATACATAATGGGCCTCGAGGCCCATTTGACGTTGACATGACTTATTTTTGTTTTTATAGATTTGTACTATTCAACGTTCACAAAATAAGTAAAATATCTATTAGATTTGATCTTTTGACTCGTCTAGTCACCTCCACTCTTGCACTTAGCTCTGATATGGTTTCATTGAATCACTGCTTGCAAACTCCGTCACGAAGAGCCACAAAAGAAAAGTAAAAAAAAAAACATCTTTACCAATGGAGTCGAACCTAGGGGTTTGCTTGGGAGACGCCATGAAACGTAAGGAGCGAGATAACGAGGTCCTTTCGGATATATAAAACTCTCGACTTGGAAACTCCAAAGTATCAATTATCAAATATACTGATAAGAACAGCAAGCTAATGAGGTCACACGTATCTTCTTGTATTGGCTATTTGCAAATTGTGTCCTGTAAATGGCAAATGTGATGCTCTAGCCTTAAACTGGATTTAATGGTTTTGGCAGGTCAGATGTATCAACAAGTGGTGAGAAGCTTTCTGGCTCTTCAGGTTTCAACAATGTTGCTGGCCGGGTTAGGGTTTTCCATATTCAATAACAATTGGCTCCTTCTGCATTAAAGATAAACCTAATTTATGGATGATCATATGAACTCAAAGCACCAAGCTGATTCAAATTAGAAAAGAAAACACACCAATTCATATTATTGGGCAGATTCTAGTGTTAGTATTAGAGCAAAAACTAGTAAAATATTATTTTATGGATCAAACTGCTTCAAATATTATTGAAATATTTTTGCATGCTAGAGCACACAAATACATTATCTTATACTGAAATAATAGAAAATGACGAAAAGGTCGAACCTTTAACGGTTACAACAATGAACTAAAGAGAAGGAAACATCATTAAATATACTTGTTCTTTGAATGAACAAAGTACACTAATGCAAACACAGTTGAAACTTAAATCCACATCTTATCATTAAAGAGATTACTGATATCAGGAGCATACACACCCGGAGTGGAGGTGTTGGTGGTGGCGGTGGTGGTGGTGGTGATGGAAGGCATGTGACCAGTTGTAGCAGGATCAATGGCTGGTTGTTGCTGGTAGTTGTAGTGGTTACCGTTCATGAAAGGAACATGTGCCTGCTCTCCGACATAACCCATTTGTTGAGGACGATTCATGAATGGTTCTTGTTGATACATCTGCTGATATGGATCGAGACTCATATTCTGGTGCAAATTCATAGCAGGAGCATAAACACCTGGAGTGGAGATGTTGGTCATGGTGGTGATGGAAGGCATCTGAGCAGTTGCAGCAAGATCAATGGTGGGTTGTTGCTGGTAGTTGTTGTTCGTAAAAGGAACAGGTGCAAGCTCTCCGACATAACCCATTTGTGGAGGAAGTGCTGGCAGCAGATTCATGAATGGGTCTTGTTGATACAGCTGATGATGATATGGACCCTGCAGACTCATATTCTGATGCAGATTCATACCAGGAGCATAAACACCCGGAGTAGAGGTGTTGGTCATGGTGGTGGTGATGGAAGGCATGTGACCAGTTGCAGCAAAATCAATGGTTGGTTGTTGCTGGTAAGGAACATGTGCATGCTCTCCGACATAACCCATTTCTTGAGGAAGTGCTGGCAGCAGATTCATGAATGGTTCTTGTTGAGACAGCTGATGATATGGATCCTGCAGATTCATTTCAGGAGCATGAACAGCCGGAGTGGAGGTGTTGGTCATGGTGGTGGTGATGACAGGCATGTGACCAGTTGCAGCAAGATCAATGGTTGGTTGTTGCTGGTAAGGAACATGTGCATGCTCTCCGACATAACCCATTTGTTGAGGAAGTGCTGCCAGCAGATTCATGAATGAGCTTTGTTGATACATACCCTGATATGGATCTTGACTCATATTCTGGTGCAAACTCATACCAGAGAATCTATGCGCAGTCTCATCATTAAAGTTAATGAGAGGATTGTACTGAACCGGCCCTTGCTGATTCTGGTTTTGAGTCAGAACCTGGTGTTGAACTGGCACTTCATGGTTACTCAGATTCAGATTCATATTATCATACGGAAAGTAACCATGAAGTTCATTAGAAGGACCAGCATGCTCATGAACAGCAGGAGGATCAACACCATCAACTGAAGCAGGAGGGGGAGGGAGAGAAGAAGACTCACCATTTTCTGCATGGAGCTGCATGCTAACCTCAATTCGTTTGAGATAGCTGTCAATATAACCAATGAGATTGTCATAGCCCATTGGATTACACGACTGCACCTTCATTGTACCAATCAAACAATCAAACATAATTTGTTTAAGCTGAGACTCATAGTTCTCCTCACGCAGCTTCCTCAATGACTCCGTAGCTTTCCCGATTCGCTCCTTCAAATACGTCTCCAGGTTCACCATATAAGTGTACCGTTTATACTCCGGTACCTGCTGAAACTCTGAAACCACCTCTTTGATGCCTTCCTTTGACGGCCACACCACCGGATTCTTCTCGAACGGACTGTTGATCACCGCACAGGCTTTGACATCGCAGAGAGTCGTAATCTCATCGAGTTTCTTCTGTATCCCTCTCTTCCTCTTCTTGAATGATGCTTTCCTTCTTGTTGGGTCAGGTATCAGTGATAACTTCTTCGGCCTCGTCGACATTATCTTTTGCTTTTAGTCTGTGTTGTTGTTGTTGTTGTGTTTTGTTTTTGGCTCAAAGACACTATTATATAGTAACAGATGGTGTCTGCCTTTGACTATCATTAACTCATAGTTACTGCATTAATTGACCACACTAATTATAGCTTGTGCATTTACAGAAGGTTATTATATTTAATAATTAAAAGTCAAAACATACTTTATGTATATATATAGATACCTATTACATGTGTCGACAAAAAAAAAAAAGATACCTATTACATGATATAATATAAATGAAAATAAATAGTAAATAATAAACAAATTTCATCATAAATCTACATATTACTTTTGGAAATAAACAATATATATATATATATGTATGTATTATATCTGTCAAAAAATCAGACATGGCGAAAAGTTTCATTTAATTTTAATTTTATCTTGATTTCAATAGTAAGAAAGTTTATTTGGGGTTGACCAAAAAAAAAAAAGTTTATTTGGTAAACTACTAACTAACAGTTTCATATATATTATTATATGACTTTTTCCTTTTTTTTATCATGACTATGTTGTGTCATAAAAACAAATTGATTAGTGCAAATACAGGTGTATCTATGTATGACTGAATATAAACAAAATATATATATATATATATATATAATTGTTTAGAGAGACCTTATGGGGAATTTTTTTCTGTATTAAGATTAAAATATTTATAGTACACTTTGCTAAATAAAAAATTACCAGCTAATTATGAAAATTAAATTAGTTGGAATTAAAATAATTAGCATAATATCTGTTCTGTAAATATGTTTTTGAAAAATTGTTCCAAACATATGTAAACGAGAAACATTACATGAGAGACTGATAATAGAGGATTGGTGTGAACGGACGCTCCCTGATATTCAATTTTTCTATTATTGTGAAACTAGAAAATGTAATTCTTGATCCAACCAAGATTAGAAGTAGATTGTACAATCTTTGTAAGAATCTAATAATAATAATGGATAAATCTATATGAGAATTGAGAAAAAAAAAAAAAAACATAGAATTTAACATAGCTAGAATGTAATGTTGTTGACTTATCGGGAAGTTATGAACAAAATTGCCTGTATTATGAATAATACTTCAACGGCACGTTAATATACATTTACAATATCTCAGGCTTCATAATATAAAACCCTCAAAGTAAAGGAGAAGCTTCAGGTGGCACGCATCAAACTACGGAGACCCTCTAACTCATGGAGAAGCATCAGACGGGACTTTACTCAGACACCACAGTCTACTGCTTCTACTTGGAGTTGTATTCACTGAACTGGCTTTAGCATCTGCAAACAGAAAATCTAAACCAGTCTCTGTCCCGTCAGCTTTGTTCATGTCATCTGTTAAAGAATGCCTTACACGGGACGAAAGCAAAGGCCTCTCAGGTGTTCTGTAAGGATCACGGGAGCTAAGGAAGCAACTCGGCGGGGCAGGAGAGTTTGGGTTACTTAATGAATCTTCTTTCAAGATTTCTCCCATTCTTGATAGAATCCGGAATGCTAGATTTGATAGTGTTCGGGAATATGCCTCAAGAACCGCATGACCAATGTCCTGTAAACAAAAAAGATGTTTCAGGACATGGGAGTGAGAAAGAGATATGAAGATGTAATTGGTTTGGTTTATGTTTTACCTTGCCATACTGAATCTTTGTGGCATCAAGAAACGAGTGAGGGAGATTAGGGTATTTGGTTTTGATCTGATATCTAAGCGCTTCAGCTCGGTTCAAGAGAGACTCATTGCGACCAATTTCAGACGATGAATCTTTAGAGAATGACCAAGATGCTCGTACAGGGGATTTACCATTGCTGCCTTGTTCTGTAATCTTTTCTTTCCATGCAAATATAGCAGATTCTAACCTGTTAACTGTCTCGAGAGCTGCATGTTCGGTCCCCAGCTTGAGAGATATCAAGATTTCATCTACTGTGGCAGTTTCCACAGTCAACATTTTGTACAGTTCATCACCAAGGCTGTTCTTTCCAGACTGATACAACACAAGATTTTAGAGATAGTTCTGTTAGTTAGCCTACTGCACTGTTGTAAATCTAATGATTATATTTCAAAGGAACATTAAAGTGTTCAAGCTTACTTTGGGTATTGCTTCCTTGATAACAGCAGGTACTGGCATTTCAAGAAGAACGTTTTCATTAATGGCTTTTGTAGCTTTGAAGACTTGATAAACAACTTTGCCTTTGTCAAGCAATTTCTTCCTTCCTGAGTTAGAGAGCCCTGGTTTGGGCACTTGTGGCGATGGCAGCCACCATCTCTTGCTCTCGCTTGTACTCTTATTCTTCCCCTCAGCTCTACTACCAATCTCAGAATACCAAAACTCTGTGTTCACCATAGAATCTAGTGTCTCCTGCAGAGATTGCAATGCAAGTTCAACCACATCAGGCAAAAAGAAGAACAAGGAAAGACAGATTGAACGAAAGAAGAAAATCGCCTACGATTAGCATGGAGTCCAGTTTCTGAAGAGCTGGGAGATTCATATGGATGTCAGCACGGGCTTTCGGGGTCATTATCTGTTCAAACGAGGATTCACTTCAGTTTCTACCCGAGGAGTATATCTATTTTTCTTAAAAACTCTGGATCACACCTTAGCTGCCTTACCTCTAGTGATCTTCCATTGGCATCATTTTGCTTAGATGGTACTAACTCAATCATGTAGTTAGTTGGAGAAAGTAGCCAATCCATTTCCCTTCTCCATTTCTGCTTTTTCTCCTCACACAATGGTTCCAATTTCCAGAGCTCGCCAAAAATGGACGCTGCAAATCAAGAAATTTAGTACACATTCAGAGACTAATCCTGACATTTCACAAAACAAAAAACCTCAGAATATATCTAAAGAACACATAAAGCTTAAATGGTAGTAAATAGTAGAACATACTAGCAAGATGTGTTACAGCATTTGACAAAGCCAAAGCTACTTGGACACCCTTGCATCCCCCAGTGACATCTTCGCCGAGCAATAGCTTAGAAAATCTCTCCTTCATGGCTTCCACATCCAAATGGCAGTAAGCATAGCCTTGTTTCTTCTCCTTAGCATCAAAATGTTGAGACCTTCCGGATAAGCTCGAACCATCACAACTCTGTTCATCATTCTTCATCGGTAACCATTTCGAAGAAAAAGAGCTAGAGGCATCTTTGCTTGATGAACAGCTAGAAAACGCATCATCATCCAACGAATCAGTCAAGCATCCATCTCCTCGACTTGTTCCACTCTCTTCTTCATATGATTGGTTATTGATAATACAAGTTTCTAAGCCATCGTATGTAATCATTCCTGAAAAGAAAGGAGTACACAATGTCATCTTTGGTTAGACTTGTAATAAGCCATATACTTTCACTTTTTATACTGTAGACTAAGACATCAAAACTTGCACAAGATTGACAAAGGAAGGAAAGTAAAACATAAATAGTTAAGAACTCCACCTCACACATCTACTTGTTGTCTTAACTCATCAAATGAGAATCAAGAAAATGGTGTCACAGACACGTTATATATGCAGACTAGTGTTCTTTACAAGTAAAAAAACAAATGATAAAACAAAGGAATAAAAGTCATAGTGTTCCTCGAGACTCTATTAATAGCTCCTAAAGTCAAGACTTTTGCTAACCCAAGACTACTAAACTCTTTTTGTTTTCAAATGCTACTTCCATTCTCAAAAGGAAATGTATATAAAAACAAAACTTGAGTTAGTATCCCCATGTGGTAGAAAATTCCCAAAGGACCCACCACCAAGACTTTTTATAAACTTGTCATTTTTTTCAAACGTTCAAAAGATAATACTAATTGTTTAATCAAGAAGCACCAGTGATTTTGATTTAATAATGGTATCTACTCCTTGAAAAATGAAAACTTATGTCGAAAAAAACAAAGATAGGATATGTTTAAGTCTTAATAATTAACCATGTGAAACCAATTAAAACTACCTACTCTTTGTCCGTTTCTGAATCAATATAACCAAGAGGACTCTCAACTACTAAACCCCACTTCCTAAGAAACAGGGTTTGGTTTTAGATTAGAGGTGTCATTGAACCATCATATAAAATGCGTCTAGTATCTTTTATTAAATTGAGGCATTGATGTCTCGTGGAAAGCTACAGACTTCACGACCTTATTTATTACATGAATGACCAGGGTTGGTTGGTGTACATCTTTAAGTGTCTCTCATACTTGGTCCCATACCCAAAAACCTAAACCGGTCACAAGACTTTTCATTTGAAAACTATACCCTAACAGTTATAGTCTAAATATTCCATATCATCATGCCCATAAATGAAATACCTAAAAGCTAAAAGATTCAGATACTAAGTAAGCATTTCTAGTGTATGAATGCAAGAAGAGAGATTGGTTAAAGTTAGTACTTACGATCTTGTTCATCGAAATCGATGCTAATCTCCCTCTCCCTGCTACAACAAGCCAACCTTCTTCTCATCAGCATTATCCTTACTTCTTCTTCTTCTTCTTCTTCTTTTTGTGATTCTTTGTTGGACCAAAGAGAACAAAAGCTAAAAAAACTCCTTTGCGGCTTTATTGCCAAAAAAACAAGTTTCTCTCCTTCTTAATCAAGTGATATTAAATTTTACCAACCATCTTCTGGTCCCTGCATAATAAATACACATTATACTAAGTTTCTTACAACCAAGTCAATAAAAAAAAATTAAGGTGTAAAAGGAAAGCTAACAGAAAGAGTAGTAGCCTTATTACTTAAAATCTAAACAATGCATTTCATGTTGGTTCTTGAAATATCTTAATTAATAATTACAAGCTACCAAGAATCTGCAGGACAAAGCACTATACAACACCAATGGAACAATGGATGGAGACAAATCAAGCACTCCATTCCAGAATACAAAAACTAATCAAGACACAAAGAGACAACAAGGAAGGATTTTTTCACTGTACAATGAAGATAAGGCAAAAACAAAAACTGGAACTGAGTTATTGTGATTGTCTTTTTTTAACTTTTACTAATCATCTTTTTAAGGGTATTACTATTAATACATCTTTTAAGAAAATGATTTAAAAAGGCAGTAATAATGATGTAAAAAGCTTTTCTTTCTAAAAAGAGACGCTTTAAGCTACTTAAAAAGGCAACATCTAAAAATTAATCTCAAACCTAAACATAATTAAAGTACAAAGACGCAAAACATAACTGAAGCTGAGATTGAAATCTAAAGACCGAAGATGTAAGAAGATTCCTTGTGTTCCAACTGTAACCCTAACATTGATTTTGGCTGATAATAATATAAAGAACAACAAGAGTACCAAGACCTAAAACTACACTAAGAAAAAAGAAGAAATAGGCGTGTAATTGGTGTAAAGGAATTTGAACACAAACCTCAAAAATCTACAGAGATTGTTCACCAGAAGAAGAAGACTTGACACAATGACACTATTATAAAGTAGAAACTGAGCTACAGAAGCAACCACATTCGTCCGTACAGTAAAAACAAAGATAAATTCAAGAAAAAGAATGATCGATCGAGGAAGAAGAAGAAGAAGTAGTAGCAGAGGAATGGGTGAGAGAGAGAGAGAGCAGAGATGCACTGAGAACATTTATTGTGGAGGAATATTTTTGTTGACGATTGAAATATTTTTCTTTTATTATTGTTTGAAAATGAAGAGATGAGTAAAACAAAAATTAATTAACAGCCGTAGGATCTTCATTGAGCTGACTATGTTAATATAAACGGTCAAGATATAAGTAAAGGGTTTGATTTGACAAAAGAGAAAAATAAAGTGGCTCATTTACAAATTTTTCCAAAAAGAACCTATAAAACTAGAGGAGGTAGCGCCGCTGGTGAGAGACAAAACAGAAATTATATAAAAATCATTTGAAATTCGTGCTAAATCATACTACTATTTAGAGATATTTCAAACTCGCATTTGTCGATGATCATAAGATTTGTGAACATCTTGATTCCACGGTTTAAGTTTAATCAACCACCCGTGCATAAAATATAAACAACTTACGAATATTATATCAAAAGATTAAGAAGCCATGTTTAAAAGATACACTAATCATCATGTATGTAATAAAGAAAGATTCAATCCTCACTTTGAATAATAAGAAATATAACATGACAAAATTGGAAAACCCAAAACAACATGAATCATCATCAACATCATCATCAGTCCTCTTCCATTGGTACTTCAGGGATGTCAAACCTGTCTTCTTTAGCTGGTACTGGGGCAAGTGAGTTTCTGTCAAGGAGATCACATAACATAGAAACATAACTCGAACTTTAACAATCACAATATCGAAAGTAATTGATTAGAAGGAAAAAAAAAAAGGATATAATTATCCAACATAGGATCTTCTTTCTCTCCACGGTTTCTGCTACCCTTAAGCTCTCTCTGAATCTCAGGAGTTACCTACAATTTCACATTGAACAAACCGAATAAGTGGGACGATCGACAAAACCAAATTTTCACTTTTAAAAAAAGTGAGAAGCCTTACAAGATGGTGCTTTTGCCTCTGGAGGAGGGTTTGGAGATGTTCTTTGTCTTCTTTTAGTATTTCAAACTTGTACCTGCACATCGGTTCAAACATGAGTTTGGTAAATAACTTCACAGTTTTTGTTTGATTTCTCAAACATCTTCGTATAAAGAAGAAGAGATTACCGTTGCACAAAGGTAAGAAGAGACTGGTGCCAAATCACAGGCATAACTCTTATATCCTCGACAAATCGCATGAAGTGAGCAACCAATGCATCAAGCACTCGATACGGCATACTATATTTCTTCTCCAAAAGAACTTTTATGAAGTAACTGCGTCATAAAAACTTATCAGCGCTTTTTTACAACTGTTAGATTGAATCGCATAAGGCAATCTACTATTGGACTCTCTGTTATAAAAGTCAAAAGAATAGTACACGCTTACCTTGTTGTGCCACAGTAATCCATCTCAGCCAGCTTGTGCAAGGCAACACTGCAGTACATGTTAAGATATTAGTAATATGCAACGAATAATCTGAAAACTGTAGAAGATGAAATATTTGTATGCGTACCATGAGTGGAGCATAGGGATCGAACACTTTTCAAGAATGCTCCCTATAATTACAGCTTCTCTGAGATTGCATGTCCCCGACTGAATGAACAAATAAATACCCAAGGAACTAGTAAGAAAACAGTCACATTCTGATGATAGATTGCTAAGGAAACATTGAACAGGTTGGTGTTAATTCTGGAGGATGGATATATATACCTTACAAAGAGGGAACAGTATTCCTTGATTGAATGAACTAGGCTTATACAGTGACTTTTTTAAAGCCTGGTACAGAGCAAAATGCAGCCTCTTGTGTTTTCTAATATCCTCTCTCACTCGCGGAAGTAAAACATAGCTATAAAACCGTCGAACTTGTGAATCTTTCAAGTTGGAAGCAAAGATTCTTGTGGCTTGATACAAAGCATTAGGTGACCATTTCTCTGGCTCGGTCAGGTATAATATATCCTCCCAGTGTTCCATTGAAGTAATAAGCTTAAATGCCTTAGGAATTTTCCCAACTGTATACTCACTCATAAACTTGCCAACACTGCATAAGATCATCTCAGAGACATGAGAACAACTTCAAAAATCATGCTGAAACTCTACTGATCATGTGAAATAGAAACAAAACATTACCCTTTATATAATTGAATAATGGCAGGATCCATTTTAGGATCAGGACGCTCCTCTGCAACAACAAGTTATGAGCTTTTACAATCAGCAACGAAATACAAAATCATCAAACAAAAGCTGCAGAAGCAAAACCATAAAAAATAAAGAGATCTGTATCTACCTTCAGCTACGTGAGCATCATTATCTTTGATTTTCTTGATAATGATATCAGCAAGAGTACGCTGAGGAGGAGCATTCTTATTTAAGAATGACTCAAACAACTTCTCATCTTCCTCATTAATCTCCTCCTGATCAAATTTACATCATTATATCAAAACATAAGCATGAAGAATCAATGAGGCCAGTTCCCAAACAAGATAGAGATCAATTCTGGCATCGTTCTAAGCATTTCAGTCTAAACCTATCCTGAACTAATGCTATATAGAATCAAAAGAGCCTATATAGAATAAAGATACTAACTTGTTTATCGAATTGGCTCTGCTTATCGAAATTTCCATCGAATTCATCAATATCATCTTCTTCATCCTCCTCCAGAACTCTCTTCTCTTCTTCCGCAGTCTTAGCTCCAGCAATACCAAAAGCAGCGCTACTAGGGTTTCTCTCGGCGTTCTCTTCATCTGCGACTTCCTTTTGCTGGGCAAGAGCTTGCTTCATGATCTTCGAGCTCATACTTGCTTCAATCAACTACAAAAATCACCATTAAAACAAATCAATTGAACATTCCAAAAGCTTGAATTTGAAAAAAAAATGACGAAACTCATGAATGTGCGATGGTTATCTCATTCACCTTCTCTTGCTTCTGATGGGTTTTTGGAACCTTTGATCGTTTCCTGGAAGAAGCAACGGAGGCGTCATCGGCATTGAAAGGCTGAGTGTTGACAATTCTATCTCGCTTCTTCGCCATTGTTGTTGACAGAACAATGCTTCCACAGGGCGGCAGATGAGAAAGAGAAGAAGCAACTGAAAGAAACTAAAAAAAACTAAAACCTTTTTGTTAAAACCCTAATTGATTTTTTTCTTTAAAAAAAAAAAAAAGTTTTTGAAGAACGATGTTATTAAACCCATGGACCTTGATGCAGCCCATACGGCCCAACTATTCCTTTTGTCTTACCATATGACTCTTGATGGTCCTCTATTCCAATCCATTTATTAAAGCATAATATGTAAAGTTAACTTGATAGCATAAACCCCTTTCATTGTCGTGTTTTATTCGATTTTTTTTTTTTTTTTTTTTTTAGTGTTTTCTTCGATTTATCGTCAATGTAAAGTCAAACCTTGTATTATGTTTCTAGTTTCTTGTCACGTTTTGCTCAAAATTAAAGAGTTTTCAAATCATTTTTGATCAACATTTTCTTACAATAACCTTCGTCGCAAAAGGTTTAGTTGATGAGATAAATTTCGAATGGTTTTATAATTTTATGTTTTCTTCATTTTTGAACATGGAGCCATGTTTTAAAAGTTTTACTTCAAGTAAAACCTAAACTTTCATTCTAAATGATATTTACATTTTTACATTATATATATATATATATATATATATATATATATATATACCATGTCCAGAGATAATTTGAGTTTTTAGTTTTGATATTCGTTTTTAACTTTAATATATGAAGAAAAAAATATTAGACTGGATTTTTTTTGCCCCAAAGAAGTCGTAGTAGAAAAAAGTTTCGGATTTAAAATAACCATGAATATGATAAAATTCAGAAGCATTTTTGAGGGAAACCACACTCGTGACTCGTGCTATATATAAACGATGATATATCTCATACATAAGGCTTCTCGGATAAACCTAAAACATTTTGAAAATGGGTTCAAAATTTACATTCTAATATGTCAATTTGACATATAATTTACATGTAACCCAATTGCACACAAACATACGATCTCTAACGATCACCACAAAAGCTTTAGTTGCTTACCTTTCTCGGTGTACGTGTTTAAGTTGGGATTATTCTAAGTTCTAACAATGCTTTTGACCCTTGGGTGAGGGAATAATTAGTGGGAGACAAAAAAGGAACTAGGCGTGACCTTTAGTTGGATTAATGATAGAATTAATCAGGTAAGCACTTTAATCAAATTAATGAAAAACAATCTCGGGTTTAATTATGGGTGTTCAAAATAACACTAAAAATTATTCATTACTATATTAATTGAATTGAGATTATTATTATTATTATTATTATTATTATTATTATTATTAGTATTATAGTGCATCTATATTGTTTTTTTTTTAAATCATGGGAACATATTTTAATTATTTGATGAAAAGGTTATTATATTTCTATTTTTTAATGAGATTAATTCTTCTACTTATTACCAATCATTTACTGCTTTTTCTTCTATAGTTTAATTATCATTTTTTATAAACTACTAAGTCACTAGATTGTTATGCTCTTTATTTATATATTTTATTTGTTTCTATAGTTATATATCATGAACTATCTTGACTAAACATATCAAAGTAAGAAAATTATTTTTTCTTAAATTTTGGTTTTATAATGGATGGTTATAAATAAAATAAACTAGATATTTACAACAATAATATTTAGTATATTTCCCCTATATTTTTCTGAAATTTATATATGCTTTCCTAATATTTATATATATAATAAGCAAATTATGAAAGTTTGATAGAGTGTATTTACGGAAAAAAAATATAAAAAAAAAGTCGAATCATATACGAGTAGTGATAGTTGGCCCCATCTTAATTAATACTGATTGATATATGATTCGATGGAGTCTTAATCAATAATCATAGATGGGGTCTAAAGATCACTATTCTAAAAAGTCGAATCATAAACTAGTTGCGATTGTGGTTTGAATATTAATAATATCCTCAAACTCACTTTTTGTATCAAGTGTGAACTAATAAAATTATATACTAGAT